GCTGTGTGCGTGTCCGTGGCTTTTGGGCTGGGACAGGGTCCTGCAGCTCACACCTGCCAAAACGTCCGCGGGGTGTGTTCGCGCTTCAGAAATCAGCTGAAGGGTTGACAGACGCCCCAGGTGGGCTGTGGTGGTGCTGGGCATTCAGAGCTTCCAGAAAACTGTGCCCCTGAGCTCCCCGTTCCCCGGGGAGCTGCAGGATGGGGGGGTGAGGGCTCCTCGTGTACGTGGGCTCCTCTCTGTCTCGTCCCCCATCTTGGGATTCTTCCTGTTTGAAGCAGCTGGAGCCACCAGAGCTGCTTTTCTGCCGCTGGTGTTTTCCTGCTTCAGGAGCCCCTTGTGCCCCCCCTCGCTGAAAAACCCTCTTCTGTGTTTGCAGGGCCCAGCCTCCTTGTCAGCAATGGCAAAGCCTCAGGGCAAGGATTCCGGGCTGAAGGAGAAGTTCAGGAATCTTCTGGGGCTGGGAACATCCCGGGGAAGTTCCAAGTCGTCGGAGGGGAAACAAACGGAGTTTATCATCACTGCAGAAATACTCAAGGTGTGAGAACTGAGCAGAGTAGAGGTGGAGGTGGTGCCAGGATCACCTGAGCTGGGAGGACTGGAAGGAGGGCTTGGTGGTTCTGCTTTCTCTTTTGACATCCACCCCCTCTTCTGGCAGTGATCATGCCTTTGTACCTCATCTCTCAACTCATTCTCTAGTGAAATGCATTCAAAACTTGCCTACTTTGAAGTGACAGCATTTTAGTTACTCAACATTTGAATGCTTATGAGACAGGGTGGTGGTGTCTTACGTTGGGTTGCAGGGTGTTTCCTCAAAATAGGCTGCTCTTTTTTATATAATCAGAGCTTGATGAAGGTTGTGGTTGCACCAGCTGGAAACTGTTTCTTTTTAATGAAAACCTTACAGTTTTGCAAACATTTAAAAAAAATAATAATTATTATTATTCCAGTAATTGGTTCAGCAAGTCTGTAAGCAGAACAGTTGGCACACAGGGAGGAGAACACATAAAAGGGAGAAGCAGACCAGAATCCTTTCCCACCTGTGCTGACCTGCTGGGGAGCTGGACCTCATGTCCCTCCTTCCTCTGCCCTTCTCCCATGACCTGGGCAAGTGCCACAGCCGGGGGGTTGCTGACTTATCTCAGGATCTTGAGATGATCTGTCCTGGAGGTGAAAAGCTGCTTGGCTCCAGTTCTTTGAAAGTTCTAGTTTTGACAAATCATTTGCTGATGGAAAATGTTGTGGAGGAATTCCTGAAAAAACTCCAGTGATGACTAATGGTTTAGATCATTCTGGGCAAATGTGTGATTTATTTTTCTGTGGTTCGTGATCCCCTTTGAGAAACGGGTGTTTCTAGTAAGATAAACTGTGGGCTTCTTTCTGCTTTTCTTTCCAGGAACTGAGCATAGAGTGTGGATTAAGTAACAGGATACGAGCAATTGGTCAAATCTGTGACGTGGCAAAAACAAAAAAAATTGAAGAGGTAAGTTTCAAATGTTCAGTAACTATTGGAAAGGTGGAAATTTAAGCAACAGCTTTGAACCGGTCTTAAGAGGCTCCTGTAGTTTGGGCTGCCTTTTAGATTTGGTGATCCCAGAAGCTGTTTTGTGCTGTCCAGACCTGCATATGGTTTAAAAAAGGTGTGAAAGGAAAGTAGTCTTGTCCAACCTACCAACAGTGGAGCAGAGAGGATGTAGCTGATGGGCTTCCTGAGCTGGATAGAGGGAAAACACTGCCAATATTCAGGCCTGTTCAGGACAGTTCATGGGAGGTGGTGTTGATCCTCCAGAAGAGGTGTTTGCTTCCTTCTCTGTCTTGTTAATAAGCAACCTCAAATCAGTTTGATACTCATCTTGAATTGGGATGAAGGTTTCTGCAACATGTGTGAATTAAGAACTTCAGTTACTGAGGTGGAAGTTGTGAGACAGAACAAGGTTTGGTGTCTCATGTGGTTCCTCTGAGCTGATGACAGGTGAGAGTGTCCCTCAGAAGAGACCTCTGCCCATGAAATCCCTGGAGATCTGGTTAATTAACTTGTCGTAATTAATGACTGACCCCCTGAGTAAAGATCCCAGAAGCAGCTTCACTTCCCTGCTGCTGCCTGTCTCCTGTGTTTGTTTCCAGCATGC